AAAGTTTCCACCTTTATCCTACAGTATATACAAAATATATAATACAAATTGGTTTATAAACATAAGCAAAGAAGTGTTGAAACTATATCATAGAATAACATCTTTGCATCTTAGGATAAGCAATGATTTCTTAGGCAAGACACTAAAACTAATAACTATAAACATTTTAAACTAAGAATCAGTAAAATTAAAACAAAATTCTATATATCAAAGGTCAATACTCAGGCCACTTTAAATAATGTGGTGCTTCCTTTTGGAAGTTGGCAATAATTCAGCACCATAAAGGCTGAATTTCTGAGTGTCTTCAGGGGACTCTAGTCACACCTCTGTTTGCCTTTTTTACATTAAATACAGGTGTGTAGAAAGAAAGAAGTTCAATTTCCTTGATATCATTTCTTAGAAGTGGCCTCTTCCTGCATTAAAGGAAAAGTATAGGACACAAATTTACTGTTAACTTGGTATCATTTTGAGGGATATTGTTTGTATACCACACTCTCATTTCTCAATCTCTAGCATCAGTTGGCATTGATCTTATATTTTGTTGTCCTTTTATTTCTCTAAGGAGTCTGATAATTTATTGAAATCAGCTGACCCTTTACTATGCAAAAATAGTATGGACAGACTAAAATTTCATTTCTCTACCTTAAGGAAAATGTAGAGAGACCAAAATCAGCAAAATGAAAAATTTTAACCTGGGTTTTTAAAATTAGTTTTAAGAGTACAATGTCAATCCATAAATCATGCCTCCTCAGCTGTGCACTATGCAGAAGCCTAGGTATGTGACATATATCATATATGTCATATATGTGCCAGGTATTGTTCTAGGTCAGAGAAAAGTCACTGTCCACTTCAAACTTATTTTCTCAATGCACAAAGAACAGGTGAAAATACTAAAAAACATCGGTCCAAATAAGTGTAAGTTACAGGAAGACCATGCAGAGAATGAAAAGGCGCAATACTCAGATTCCTCATGCTAATGAAAGTTTCCAAGTCTGGGGAAACCACTGCTTCCAGGAACATTTAACTGATAAGATATATGAGGTTCCTGAGCCTAAATGCCTTGTCCCAGAAAAAGAAGATCTGAAGAGAAGAACCCAGCTGAATGGTTGTTTGTTGAGTCTAGGTCCCATGATGCCATCCCTATTGTCACCTGGAGGGAAAGACAACACATCCAAAAGCACAAATATCAAGACATTTAAAAAATACTACTAGATGTTACCACTGCTTCTTTGGTAAATATATTCTTTTCAATAACCCCAAATACTAGAAACCAAAACTTACATGAGTTTTCATTAACAAGCAGAACTTGCAATCCTCTGTTGCTTTTTCAACTGCCATTTTATAATAGTGTCTTTGACATATTTGATGGAATGGCACTTCGTTTTATAAGAAATTTTAAATGCATAAA